GGAACAGTGTAGAATGAAGGAAGGCCCCAGCTGGCTGCTGGCTGCTGGGGAAAGGAGGCCCCAGTCAGCAGCTGGAAGGCCCTTATTGGCCCTGATCGCTGGCCAGGCCTAGGGACCCTGTGCATGGATTTTGTGCACTGGGCCTCTAAGAAAGTTATAAGGAAGCAGACTTGAATTTGGTATAAGAATTAAATTTTAAAAAATAAGAATGTTCATTGAAAATATTTGACTTGAGACTGGATGATCATTTATTTAATTAGTATCTAATGAATTTGAGTGGAGGGATTCCTGCTTGACCTTTAAGATCCCTTCTGACTTTTAAATTAAATGATTCTAATGTTCTGTTTAAAAACTTAATTGTTCAGAATGAAGGTCACAACTTGGATTTCCATGAGTCCATTTTCTTACTTGGGCTCTCCTGTTTACTCTTTGTACATTTTTAGACAAGATCGGGTGAGTTCAGGGTAGTATGGCCGTAGACTACTCTTTGTGCATTTTTATGATGCTGCAATGAGTAACTTCTTCAAGATTGTGATATCTTTAGAATATACAATGTAGGATAGAAATCACATTCTCTTCTTTGAGTGTTTGTGGCCTCCTTTGATGCAGAGGAAGAATAGTACTCCCATTTCCTATTTTTCTCTTGCTCTGAAACCATACCTTGGTTCCGTGATTTTGGATGACCTGTTTGCAAGTAGAGCCAGTCAATGGCACTGTTTGTGGATACAAGCAACTTCTTACTTGCTGCCTTTGACCAATTATGTTTTCCATTTCTAGCTGCACAGGATGCCTAAGATCTCCTTTGCTTGGGACCCTGGTGGAAGTGTCATGCCTGTTATGCCACTACAGTTTGTGGAGAGCAGATACATTGTTCAGACGGGATCAAACCTTGGACTGACTTGTAGCAAAGCCACATGCGAGTCCCAGCTTGGATGGCAAAGTACTTGCAGCACAACTATAGCCAAAAGGCTAGGGTTGTAAGCTTGACCTTCTAGTCTGACTCTGCAGTACTAGGTAGCTAAGGGATGTGGGCTTTGAGGGGTGCAGCAAGTGCCTTTATAGAGTTCAGAGAATGTCAACAACAGGAAAGAAGCAGATTTGAAATTCGTAAGAAAATTGTAAGCATCTTGTCCTTATTTTGCTTTGTGTGATCTAACTATAAAATAAAGCTTCAGTTTATTGACTGTGTCACTGTTTCCTCATCCAGGCACAGTGATCCCACCTGGTCCAAACTATTCTCTTGTCTGTCTTCTTTAATCCTTCACTGTCCCTCCTCAGGTTTAACCTGGCCACGCTGGAAGTGGTTCACAGTTTAACTCAAAGATCTTTTAAGAGGACAAACGATACTCTCTGGGATTTCTTTTCATATATCTGGAATATACCCTCCCCCCCCCTTTTTTTTAAATGCACAAACCAAGATAATTGGGGCAATAATATGAATTTAGTCAACTTTCAATTGCTTTTAATAATCCAGTGGAGGAAAATATGAACAATTCAAAAATATTAGCTAACATCATGTCATTCACTTGGTTTTGGGATTTCCACAGAAACACTTGGTCCATGTCCATACTCTGCTAGGGGCTTTGGTATCTGATCTACTCTTACACCTGAGGCTCCAGGTATTATATAAAAGGCTTTTCAGCCCTGGCCAGTGTGGCTCAGTTGGTTGAGCATCATCCCATGCACTGGTTGATTCCTGGTCAGGGCACATGCATGGGTGTGGGCTCAATCCCTGCTGAAGGGTGTGCAGAAGGCAGCCAATGGATGGTTCTCTCTCATCTATCAATGTTTCTCTTTCCTCTCTTTTCCTCTCTCTAAAATCAGTAAAAAAAAAAAGTTTTTTTTTTTTTTTTTTTTTTTTTTTCTCCCCTCCTCTCCCCAGTTATATGCTGGCAAGCTTAGGAAATTTCTCCAAGTATTTAATTTTAATTCTTATCTGTTTTCCTTTTTCATTGTTTTATGTTCAGACTCTCTCAGATTACTATTGGGTGGTCTGGTTGCTTTCCCCAAGATGTCTCTCTTCCTTGGCTCCAGGCTCTGTTTTCTATGCTCACTCCATGCCCATCTCTGGTTCTGAGTTGTCTCACCCAAGTATGGGCAAGAACTTCATGTTAAAATGTATTCAGCAAAGGAATGAGGCACACATTCTCATCTTTACTCACCAATTGGTTTTAATCAGACACTAATAATTCATATTTGTTTTTCTGGTTTGATCTTGAGTTGAAGGTATATGGCACAAGGTCCTGGGTTGCAGTGGATAAACCATGAAGGTCACATGGTGTGTTAAAAGGAACACTGGCTCAATAAATATTAATTCATTTCTTAACCCACTTGTGGATGAATAAGAAATGGTCAGACCAAGAATTTATGCAATGCCCTATTCCAAGGAGTATACAAGGACAAAGTAGTATCTCATTGAGAATATTTATTATATTAGCAACACAAATAACATATAACCTGATTTGGGGATGACTGATTGCTTATCATGAGTCTCATACCTGGCTGCACATCAGAATTCCTTCAGGAGCTTTTTACAAACATAAATTTTATGTGGCATTTGGGAAAAACTGATTTATATTTCTCCACCACTTTGAAAATTTTTAATAATGATGACTTCCCTAGACCAGTGCCTCTCAAACTTTAATATACATATAATTCACCTCAGGAATCTTGTTAAAATGCAGATTCTGATTTAGTAGATGTAGGGTGGTGCATGAGATTCAGCATTTTGACAAACTTGGGGTGATGCTGATGCATCACCAGAGACATACCTTGCAATAGCAAGGTCTTAAACCTGAGAGGCTGGGGAGGAAGGTTGAATGACAGACCTCTTGCTCACACCAATTCAATTGAATCTCTGGGGATGTATGCCAGATATTGGTATTTTCAAATAATTCCCTTAAGTGATTCAACTATACAGTTGGAATTGAGAACCATTGCTTAAGAGAGATACCTTGACCACATCTAATATCCATTTTTTTCTGTAGTGAGGGCAGATAAGCTTGGGCACATTTTTCTTGTATTAAAAAAAAAAAAAACCAAAAAACAACAACAACAAGAAAAATAAACAACCCAACAGTTCTATTGCTTATAGTAGATTTTCTTAAAGCATGTCCTTGGACCATTTGCATTAGAATGACTCTGTTACTTGTTATAAATACATTTTCCCAAACTTGCCCCCAGATAAAGTGGATTAGAATCTTTGCAGTCTCATCTCAGGAATCTGATTGGACACAATCTCTCCAGGTGCTTTGCATGCACAATGAAGTTTGAGAAATACTGGCTTATAAGATAAAATTAAATCTCTTTAGCTTTGCAGTCAGGGGTCTTTAAATAAATTGGTTTCTACCAGAATTTTTAAGCCCTCTCTTTTTCTGCTTTACTGCATTAATCAGGAGCCTTTAAGATGGCTTCCAATGACTTGGTATTCTTGCTGTCATGTAATCCTTTGCTCTTGAATGTGAGCTGTATTTATTGACTCATTACTACTGAGTAGAATATGGAAGAAGTAATAGGATTTCCCTTCCAAGATTAGGTTATAAAAAAACTGTGCCTTCCATTTTGGATGTCCTCTATCCCTTAAAGTTCTTGCTATAGGGAAGCAAACTGCAATGTTATGAGAAACCCTATGGAAATGCCTACCTGAGAACTCAAGTCCTGCCAACATCCACATGAGTGAGCTTAGAAGTGGTCTCTTCCAATCAATTCCGGACAATGTCTTGATTGTACCCTTTTAAGATACCTTGAGCTAGGGGACCCAGACAAGACCCACCTGGATTATTGACCCATAGAAACTGTGAAATAATAATTGTTTTGAAGCTCTAAATTTTGTGATAATTTGTTATGTAACAATAGATAACTAGTACACCCACCTTGAAATACCCTTCCTCCTCCTTCCTACTTATCCAAACTTACTTCTTTCAAGGCTTAGCTGTTCTAAGAAACCATTCTTACAGTGATTTTCCTTTCATGAACTCCTAGAGCACTGCATATGAAGTCAGTAGTGATCATTGCTAGATAGTATGTGCTTTTTTGTATTCATTTATAATATTTAATTGTAAGTTCTAATGCTCTGTCTTTAAAATAAAATATAAACACATGAATGAGAATATAAGTTATAATGGAAGTTGATTTAGAATTATTTCTATTCCCATGAACTATTCTATTATCATAAATATAATAAGTGCCATATTAGAGGCAATAGGATAAGAGAACTCCCTTGATGATTATTATTCTAGGGTTGCATTTTTACACTCCCTGCCTATCAGCCAGTTCAGTGGATTCCTCCAGGTCTTGACTCCCTATAGTCTCAGACATTTTCAGCTCACTCATTTCAACTTGGGACTGAGAGATCTGTATTTTTGATTCAGTTAATTCATGACCAATTCAGAAATGCCACATTGCCACAAGTATTTGTCTTCAAGATCTGTCTCAGCAAATCACACAAAGAAAGCCCATCTGTTACCCCTCCCTGGCCATTCCTCTTGGTCCCTAGGACTCCTCTGTAGTGAAGGGATAATATAAAACATTCAATACCTGAAATTGTTATAGGAGCATTTCAGAAAATGACTCTATTCATCTTTCTTCACAGAGTAAGAGTTAAAGCTATCTCTAATGGCTTTGGAAATTTTGATTAGGATGGTAATGGAAACCATTCTTGCTTTATCTAGTTTATGCACACGAATGCTTTCTCAATAAAGACTCTGGAATGAGCTACAGCACTCATGATAGTGGAAATTCTGTTCACTTCAGCCGCCTTCACAATGAGAGGGCCTTCTCAGTACTGAAGGTTGTTTTTTTAAACCTTTCCTCAGAGTCTGGAGAGTGGGAAGCATTGTCTTTCTACATAAACCCTAATAGCATTTGGGTTTAAAAGCTGACAAAGAAAGATAAGGCTCTCGCCCCAACTCAGCTTTTGTCTCTTTTATCAGATGTTACTAGTAAGGTTATCAGTGTGGTCTCATCTAAGGCGTGGCACACATTCTAACCACCGAGGGTCTCTAATTGGATCTGCCACCCCAGTCTGACCCTGTGGGTTCTGAGGTGGTCAGAAGCAGAAGAGCAGCACTGTGGATAACGGACCCACAGTAGTAAGTCCCAACGTCTTTTGTTGTTGTTTCTTGAATGTCCAGTATATATTGACTGTTCAAAACATCAATTTTCCCTTTGATATTACTTCTTAAATGGTCATTAGAGTTGTTGCTTGGTCTATATACTAAAGTCAGTGAGTTATCTTCATGCTTCTTATACCAGATCATTTGATAATTTTTCACGTCCGCTCCTGTTACATGGCAGTGGAAGGTGGTAGTCTCCCCAGCTAGAACCGTCAGAGTTTGGGTGTCTGATTCCAAAATTATATCCAACGAGACCCCTGAAAGGAAAAGCCCACAGTTAGAGCGCTGTGGAGGACTCCCTCCACCCCAAGGGGCTACGTGTCAGAGCAATGCCCAGAAGTGGTTTCCCTGTTAGGCGCCTTCCCCCGCTCAGCTCACTGATCCTGCTGCACTTTGCCCTGAGAGTAAACGGCCCAGTGACTTGCCCTTACCTGCACAGAAGATGGCGAGGTAGAAGAGGGGGTAGGTCCACTGCATGGCTCCAGCAGGAGTGACTCTGGGGTATTCTGCTGCTCCCTGGCTGCCCCTGCCCCATCAGCCGCTGTCTGCCCATGAGAAGTTTTGTCCGTTATAAAGGTGGTTGGGCGTGAGTCACTTCCTCAAAGAGAGGTGTGACAGGCCTGCAAGGGCACAGGTTAGGCTGTTTATTTAATAAACTTGGGCTAACTACCTATTGCAGACCAGGTACTATTTGAGAGATGAAAAGGTGAACAGAACATGGCTTCTGCCTTCAAAGATCTCAGTTTTGGGGCAGACAGACATGGAGGAATTACAGAGTAGTGGTAAGTGCTGAAAGAGGTGGGTACAAAGTGATTCAGGAGCCCAGAGGAAAGAGCTGCTTCTGCTTGCGATGCTCAGGAGAGGTAACCCCGAACTGAGCTGTGAGTGTTGAGTAGGGCATTCACAGAAGAGAGAATGGCATGAGTAAAGGCTCAAGAAGCAAACCAGCCTGCAACCGATGGTTATTCTGACTCCATACAATTCCTGTGCCGATCCCTTCTCCTTTGGCCTCTGCCATCCCTGCCTCAGTCTGAGCATCCTTCACCTGTTGCCAGCCATTGCTATAGTATCCCAAGAAGTCTTTCTTCTTTCGGAATCTCCCTCTTTTTTTCAACCATTTTCAAGCAGCCACCACACTGATTTTTCTTCAGACCAAAAGGGGTCAGTGCTGAAACTCTTTTAGCAGCTCCCCTTGGCCTAAGAATGGGAGGATCCTATGTCCTGGCCATATGACCTCCTGATCTGCTTCCTTCTCCAGTCTCACTTTTGCCTACTTCCCCACTTGCTCTAAATATGTCAGCTGCACAAAAATTCTTACAGGTCCAAAGATTTATTATAGTCCTCATATACCCCATTTTTGTATTGACTGTTTCTTCTTCCTGATAAAACCATACCTTCCTTCTCCTCCCTTCCCAACCCAACTTGAGAGAGGTTTCCACCTGGGCTCCCTGAACTTGTTGGGTCAAGGCACTTATCACCTCTATTATAATTACATGATAAGTTATTTGTTTTCTGCATTGGACTGTAAGATTCTTTAAAACTGGGATGTATCTTATTTATATTTGTGTTCTCAGTGTCCAACCCAAAGCTTGTCAATATTAGGAACCTTGCAGATATTTGCTAGTGCAAGCAGGATTTCTTTCTGTAGCCTCCTGCCTCAAGGAGCCTTGTAGATTGCTTAACTAATTAAATATGGGATTAGGAATGGATTTGTCAACAACTAAAACCTGAGGAAGCCAGTTCTGCAGGTGCAAGATACATCACCATCCCCCCTCCCACCCCCCTGCTTGGTTAGAATCTGCTTGCAATTGGTTGTGACTAATATTCTGATATCACCCATTGGAGCCTAGGTGGTATCACTTACCCACATTATCTACATACAAAAGGAGCACTCGCTTTGCAGGTATAACAGCCCTGGGTTTTGAATCTTGCCCTGCAATTTACCAGCAGCTGGGCAAGTTACATCTCTTGAGTCTTGATTTCCTCAGCTGCAAATAGGGTAATTGTAGTTACCTTGCAGGGATGTTGTAAGGTTGAAACGAAAGAACACAGGTGAAGCACTTACTCCTGTGCCTGACATACATTTGTAGGCCCGCTGTAGATGTTAGTTCTTTGCCTCAACTCTTTGCTTTGCCATGGTTGGGTTAGTGCCCTACTCAAAGCTACTTACCTTTGCCACAGTCACCAGGGAGAAGCAGAGCTTATGATTTCAGTTACAGAACATCACTCTGTGGGAAGGAGGTGTTGGCTGAGCTATGTTAAGACTTTGTGCAAGTAAATGGATGAGCCAAATGGAGTTGTGTTAGAGATGAATGGGTCAACAACTTTAAACAAAATATATATTTTATTGATTTTTTACAGAGAGGAAGGGAAAAGGATAGAGAGTTAGAAACACCATTCAGCTGCCTCTTACATACCCCATATTGGGGATGTGCCCACAACCAAGGTACATGCCCTTGACTGGAATCGAACCTGGGACCCTTGAGTCCTCAGGCCGATGCTCTATCCACTAAGCCAAACCAGCTAGGGCTCAGCAACTTCTTTGCCCTTAGACAAAGGACTGTCTCTGCAGTTAAGGATGGAGGCCATGTATGAGCTACAGCCCCAGTTTTCTTTGTCCATTGGGATGAAGAAAGAATAGGAGAATTTGGAGAAGCAAAAAGACCTCAAGGTGAGATTAAATTAACCCATACTGGCTACTACTTGCCCAAGCCCAGTGCCATTCTCTCTGAAGGTCTCTGCCACTCTGGGTCTTTAGTATCAAACATGTATCTGAGTATCAGTGAGGCAGAATGCCAGACTTCTGATTTTCTCTCAAGTTGAAAGTCTCTGGGCCTGCTTTGCCTTTGATTTTGATTTGAGAACATATCCACTCTCTCCCCACCCTCTTTGAATTCTTTGGATAAAAAAGAGATAAATTTAGTGCAAGTCCTTTCTTTGCTTTATCTCCTGCTCATTACCCTCAAACTTCACACATAAAACTTAAGCAACCGTGGAGGCAGACTGTGATGTGTGCCCGTGATTTATGTCTATGTAGTCCTGGTGGTTATCAGATGTTTGCTATTTCTAGTTGCTGTTTTCACTCTCTGGTTTCTCTGCTCTAGCACTGGCTGGTTGGGAAAACAACAGGAATGAAAGTGAATGAAAAGAGAAAAAGCTGCGTTTCTGTTTCCCTTGGTAAGGATCTCAGCTGCCTGGTATCCCAGGACGGCCTTCAGTAAGTAAGTGATTCTTCTCAGTCTGATTGATTTGGGCTTAAAATGCTCAAATGGCTGGGATTACTTTGTTTCTCTGATTTGTTTTCACTGAAATGCCTAAGCCCCATGAGCTGTTTTAAAGCAAACAAGATATTTTTGGAAATTAGTGAGGAATTTCAATGGGTGTCAAGAAAACTCACGGTGTCATTTGCTTCTAAAAAAAATTTTTGGTTGCCAATATTCCATCTGTGACTCACTTTCCCAGCTGTGTGGCACTGAATGAAGCAGCTGCCAAGCAAAGCAGTATAAAGACAAGTTGGGTCTCTTTTGAGTTGTAATTCTGCTTCTGTTACTGACTTGGGACCTTGGGATGTACATAAATAAACTTTTCCATATTTAGTCTCAGCTCAGTTCCTCTAAGATGTGTTTTCTGACTTCCATCATCCAACTCATCCTGAAATCTAAAGGTACTAATTCCAATTTGTATTTGCCTCCTGGAATACTCCTGTAACTATTACCACCAATTACTTCTCTTGCTCCCACATATGCCTGATTTGGTCCCTCTATTAGGTTGTAAGTCCCACTACTGTGTGAAGTTCAGAAAGGCAGAAAACTTGTATTATTTGCCTTGATATTCTTGGCCCTTGGCATGGTGTCTGGGACCTAATAGACACTCAATATATATCGCTGAGTTAAAAATAGACCATGTAAAAAACAAACACCACATCACTTCTCTACTCTGATATGTGATAAATACTTGTTAAATAGTTTAATCTTACTGCTCAGCTTTTCTCTTATGATTGTTCTTCAAAGATCACATAGGAAGATTGGAAGGCTTTCAGTTAGATGATGAGGTAGCTGAAAGAGATACTCTCAAAGATATCATCTACTCCACCACAGTTTTCATTTTTGTTCCTATTGTTCACTACCAGGAAACCCTCCCTTGGGCAGGTATCTTCAGTCAATGGATAAGTCTCTGATGACTTTGTTCTTCTTTCAAACTTTCCTTTACATTTGATATTAATGGGTTTTGAAAAGGAAGAAAGATATTTCTCTCATTGAGATTCTTAGCATGGTGAAATCAGAGACCTGGGTGACAGAGTCACATAGAATCTCCTATTTTCCTATTGCATGTGACATGGCTCTGGTCTTCCAACTTTAGCTCTAGGGAGGAATTACTGAATAGCTTCTTACTGGCAGGGTTACTGGAGTTGTGCGTGTCCTTTACATGATTCTTCCAGTTTAACATTCAGCAATTCTGGGGATGCATCACCAATAACCCCGAGATGCCCCAGAGAAGAGCAAGCCCAGGAGGAAAGTGACTTATTCACTCAGCAAACACTCTCTTGACCTATGTCTGTCCCAGGAGGGTTAAAACTTTGAAATCTAATCCCCAAAGCCAAATTCTGCAAAGGATCTTGCTCTAGTTCTTTATCCCAAGAAAAGCCTTCTGTTTTGTGTGTTTCTGGGCCCATATGCTGGCTGCAAATGAGAAAGCCAGCAAGACAGCAGGGGATTAGGTTTTTTACTGATGAATAAATTCAGGATCTGAAGCAGCAGGAGACCATGTATCTTCAGAAGAGAAAATAGAGAAGAAAGTCCCACTTACTCTCAGCTCGGTAATTCACACCAAGGAGTTTCCATGAATGAACGATGCCCAAGTAGATGTGTTCTGGAATCTGGAATAATCTTCCTTGGACAGGTTTTTAGGATGTCTGATGTACTTTGACTTAATTGGTAATCCTCTTGGAGATGAGAACTTTTTTAGTAATATCTCTGTTATGTTGATAGAACCAGTTCCTTATTTATGATTATGTTTATAAACAACTTCAAGTTTATTTCTGGCTCTACATTTATATATTATTCTGCTATCTATTTAATGAGTGGGGCTACTGTTGTATTTTAATACCTCATAAAATCTATATTTGTTTTATGAAGGGGAGAAATTCAAGATGACACTGAACACCCTTTGTCTTGGTGGATAACCTTTCTGAATTTTCTGTGTTGAGGCTCACAGCTTTTGTTCAGTATGATATTAACATGCATAATGGTGTTTGTACCGCACACTAGTAAATGGCATTGTCTCTTGGCTGCATGTATATAATGGTTGAAGGACAGTTCTGTCCACAGACAACTGGTAGTGCTCCAGTTCTATGGTGCCTTGAAAGGCACGATAGATATAGGTGAGCCTTTGGTTAGTTCTCTGTAGATACAGTACACAAAGCCATCATTCCCATTAGGAATGTTATATCGGCATTGACACATCCCCAATCATGGCAACTATGTTGGAAGATTGTATAATTGCAGGAGTTGTCTGGCGAAGGAAATGAGAAGTGGTGGAAAACCACACCAGTTTACCTGGGAGCTACTTACAGAGGAAAGGCAGCACAGTGCAGAGAAGCTGGTAAATGGTGCTTCTGAAGTTCTTCTTCAGTGCTGTGCATCTCGCAGCCTACTTTGCATGCACAATGCACTCACGCCACCTTATCTGCAACAGCCATGTGGCTGCTTCATTGCTGCAGCAATAAAGGAAAGAGGTCCTTAGGGGTAGTGCTTGTGCTATTGAAAGACTCACTCAGATTTGTTCAAAGGCAGCAATCCAACAGGCCCCTTTACAGAAGGCTTGGATGCCCCTCCTTCATGTGGGTTCTGTGTTTTCAGCATATGGTCCCATTCCCTTATCAGCCCCAGGAGGCTCCCCAACAGGACTCCTTATAAGGAAACAACCAGGGAGATAGTCTTTTGCTGAAAGACATTTGGAGGGTTATGATCTCTTGGGTCCATGTCCCTGAGTTTTAGGAATGTAAGGTGCACAGAACAGTGAGGAAAGATAGGACTGCATTATGGCTTCTGTTGCCCATCTGGATGTTTCTGGTTTTGGGTATCTGGTTCTAGGACTCACTCATCATAAGCCAGATAGGAAATAATTTGTTTATTTTTAATTAGTGGATGAATCAATTAACCATCTATTCACTAAATATTGAGTGCCAACTATACACAAGTTTTCTGTTGAGTGCTGTGGAAACAATGAATTCTAAAGTTGATTTTAAAGCATGGTGATGAAATTTAACTTCAGGGAAGAGAAAGAGGTACAGCCAGGCAGGGGCGAAGTGAAGGGTCTTCTGGTTCTGCACATACCACACATAGGACTTCCCTTAGTTAAATGGCTGGTAGCAAGCTACCCACAGAGGAACATAAACTTGGAATTTTCCCTAGTAATTCATGCTTCACCCAAGAGTCAGAGGGTTCCTTTTGATTCACCTTCCTTTATAACCATTCTCCCATAAGAAGTTATTTTATTTGTTGACAATTCAAAGTCTTGGAGTTCCTGACTTAGCATTGTTACCATGCTATTCTTGGAGCAGAATCAGTTTGGCTGTGATTGTTCCCACTGTGAGGATAACTACATCTTTTGTGTGATGGTTTTCTTTTCATTGTGTGCACAATGACTGCAGAGCCAGTAAATTTTAATTTGGGATAAACAACAAGCTATCTTTAGGGCCAATCTTATTTTGACAGTTTTGAGAGTCAGGGCTGATGGAGGTCAAGGATTCTTTCTCTTTTATCACTTTTCTCAAAGCTTTTACTCCCACCTCTGCTTCTATCTTACCTCATCTTTTTTCTAAGACTATTTTTCTGCAAGATACTCTCATGAACAACTTCAAAGGTACATACAATAGGACAATGGGCAAAGAAATAAGGAGACACCCTAGAATGCCTGAGTTTAGAGGTACCCAGAATAGAGCTGGGGACAGCTGGGGCTACATAGACATGCAGATAGACATGTGGAGGTGGAGGGCTGGTGGCATGGCTGTGAGTGTGCCTGTCCAGAGCAGGGAGTGTGACAGGAGAGTCTAGGAGTCTGCCAGAGGCTTGGCTACAGCAATGCGGACGCTGCTGGAACAGGAATGCTGGTTGGGAAGATGTATGTGTGCATGGTGGTCCTACACAGGCTCCCTAACAGGACTCCTTGGGAAGCCATCCCTGATAGTGGGGGAATGCCACACTCAAAGGGACTCTAACAAGTCAGGGAGGGAAAGAACTTGTGACACACGTTCTCTGGGTCTTTCCCTACACAAATCTGAAGAGAGAGGAGAAAAGATAATTCAGAGAGTAAGAAATATAAAAGATCTTAAGCTTAGATTTCATATTTAAATAGTATTCAAATAGTTTCAGGCATAGTAGTTGGGCGCTCATTCATACTTTATTTATAAACAGGAGATCTGAATAGTCAATTATATGAGTTTTGAGGGGCCCAAGAAAACTCCTGCTCCTAAGTTTCCTTGGAGTTTAATCATTTAGGCCATAGATACATAGAAATATTTATAGGAGAATTGACACCTTAGGCTTTAATATACTAAAAATGAATAAAGATTAATTCTGATGGCAAAACCTTGTAGCAGAGAACTAGGGGATCTTCCAGCACTCAAACAGGATGCCAAGAAGAGGCCATCTCTCTTTTCTCCTTCACTCTCACATGTTTTTCATCTACTTTTGAAGCATCTCTTGAATGTTTCCCTTTCCAGGTCCTTATTTCCGATTCTTATTGTCCTCAGTCTTTGCATTAACTTTATATCTATTCTCACTACTTTTAATTTCAGAACCAATCTTTCCATCCACAGTGATCTTTCTAAAACACTGTCCAAATGCATTTCCAAGAGGAAATCTTATGTGCCTCTGATTTTTGTTCATTTATCATAGGATAAAATCCAAATCACTTAGCCTGGTTCATAAGACCTTTCTCAATAGGCGACATATTACCTTTCCAGCCACTCTTCTGTCCCAGCCAATGCAGATTCATTTCCACAGAGTGGACGCTGATCTGCAAACATGGTTCTATCCACCTTCCTGACTTGCTCAAGCTGCACTACTTCTTGCCACATCTTGCTCCAGTCCTCCCAATGGTCAAAATCCTTCATTCTTTAATTTAGTTCAACTATAACATCCACTAGGGAGCCTTTTCAAGTCCTTCTAAACCAAACTAATCTCTTTCTCTTTGGGCAACTGTGCAATGTATACTCTGACCAACATTACACATGGTCTGACTTTAGAAACTAATGACATGAGGGTCTATATATGTCTCCCTTTGAATAATACTCGCTTCTCTCATTCTCTCATTGCATTCAGGAAAGTCCATATGCCTGAGGAAAGGGTAGATATTCCAAGGAGCTGATTTTCAAGGCACTGCTCATGTGCTCTGTCCAAAGTCTGCTGATATGCAGTAGTATCCCAGAACCCCTGAACAGAACTTAAAAGAAAACTTTTCTCTTTGGATAATTTTTGGTAAGTGTACTAAAGACCTTGGCCCTTATGTTGGTGATATTTGGGGAACAGTCCTTATTGGGATCCTTGTGTTCAACAAGGTAGTGTAGTAACACCATTTCCCTAGAGGATAACCCATTGTATGTGGTTTGGAGGGACTGACCAAGATTTCCTCCACAGCCACAGCTGCATGAAAAATTCACTCTATCAAGCTATTAACCGGGGCTGTGTGGCATTGGAGTCATAAAAAAGAACTATGGTTTTAAGGCAAACAAACTAGATGCTTCTCACGTGGGAAAGACTGAAGTCAACAGCTTGAAAACTCAGGAAAAAATCTGGGTTTTTCAAAATCACAAGGCAGTGAGGTCTGTGGCCTGCTGTCAATGTCAAACCTGAACATCAGACCTGGTATCAAAATCTCAGGCATTACCACCCACGGGAAATCTAGACCTGGAGATTAGAGCACATGCAACAGATCTATTTGAATGCAGTGAGCTAACCCTGGTGACTTTTCCTTGCCTTTTGAGCCTTATATATTGTCTGTCAATCTCCTCTCTAATGGAAATGTCTGTGCATTATTTTTTCCAGGTATAGAATTGAGATGCTCCAGATATAGAACACCTAGAGAGTTGTCCCTTAATCACACTGAAGGCATGTTAAGAAAGAACATAGTATAGGCCAGTGGTCAGCAAACCATGGCTTGAGAGCCACATGCCTCAATCAGACTGACAACATTTTTAACAAAGGCCAGTTTAGGAGTATCCTAATTAAGGTAATAACAATGTACCTACCTATATACTTTAAGTTTAAAAAATTTGGCTCTCCAAAGAAACTTCATTCGTTGTACTGTTGATATTTGGCTCTGTTGACTAATGAGTTTACTGATCACTGGTATAGGCCATGCTTAAGATGTGATCAACTCAACCGCATGGACAATGATAGAAAAATACTATTTTAGAATGAATTTTTTTTCTCAATTTCTGTTTGTTCTCAGGAAAGGTATCTTTTGATAACATTTTTTTTTTTAAATGGGAAAGATGAGGACCATTTACTGTGAGAACCTAGACTTGGAACTGTAGGGAGAAATTTTAAGTTAGAAACCTTTGTAATAGGGATACCTTATAAAAGAGTTTCTTTTTTCTTTCTTTTTCCTTCAACAGGAAAACTGCTCTTTGTTAATCAGTAGAATTTCTAAATTACCTTTAAAGCACTCTTCTTTTGATGAGAAAGCTAGAGTATAGTTGAGAATGAGTTTATTCACATATAAGACAACTATCCACACATTGTTGTGGATATTATGAAGTCAGTATAAAACTAAATGCAGATGTTGTAGACTAAGATGGTAAATTTTCTGTTATGAAAAGTTAATTGGTGTCTTTATAATTATAATTAGGCACATATACCCCTTTTCTCCCCACCAATATGAATTTAATCAAGGCTACTGGTTTCTCATACATGGTATTCTAAGATCTAATATACCTTGTTTGCCTTGTTGGACCATGAAGGTCAGACTCCACCTGAGGGTGGAGGGCAGGTGGAGAGCTTTCTGGGAGGAAATGATATTTTCCCACTGTCAGTCATTCCAGGATGGTAAAGGACTAGCCTTAGGTTCTGCACTGGGAGATAGGGATACCTGCAGATGAAAAAATATGTTTTTATTGGTTTGAGAGAGGAAGGGAAGGCAGAGAGAGAGAGAAACATCAAATGGCTGCCTCCCATACAAACCCCAACCGGGGATCAAACCCACAACGTAGGTATGTGCTCTGACCAGAAATGAATTGGCAAACTTTTAGTGCACAGGACAATGCTCAACCAACTGAGACAGAGCTACTTGCAGATTTTTTTTTTTTAAACTGGAGGCACTGACTTGTCCCTGCTATGTGGCAGCCTGTGGGAGACAGGGAGAGTCTCATGTTGGGTTTTAGGGTCTTGACATGTATACTTTTTTCTCCCCTCAAGCACTGATCTATGTTCTGAATTATTAAAGGAGCAGACTACCATCCTTGGGGGACAGAATGGATGCTCCATATTCTTATGATAGAGGTTAAAGGTATTTGTAAATTTAGTATTAATCAGGCAATGTCTGTATTTTTAAATCTATATGCAGGTAAGGTCTGAACATAGCTGGTTGACATAATGAAGGACTTGCTAAAAGTAAGAGATCTGAAACTATTAAAATGGTGCTAAAAAACACATTTGTACAATGACAACCACTGCTTTAATTAATGACCTGACTATCCTTAGCTGTCTTTAAGACTAATAATGCTCAGCAACTAATTGATGGCTTACACTCAGCAACTAATTGATGGCATTAAAAGAGGTGGGAAACAGCAACAAATCTGAAAATAGCCAATTCCATTTTATCCATATATATCTATGCATTCATCCATTCATTCAACAAACATTTGTTGCCAAGTCCTGTGTTTACTGCCAAGAATATAGAGCTTACGAAGACATTACCCTGAGGAGTAGGAGGAGACAGGTAGTGCTCTGCATCTCTTAGTCAGAGAGACAGATTGTTCCTGGTTAATGACACAAGGAGGCAAGTTCTCCTTTCAGTCTCTTTTCCAAGGGATTGTTTCACTCCTGGAGCCAAATCTGCTTTCTAGTGAACTTCCTTTTATTCCTATGTTCCAGGAGCAGGAAAGCCATTGTAATTAGTTTGGCTGTGCCACTGCTCTCTGGGTGCTCCAATGGTCCTTGGTTTTTGTTTCTAAGTAGAGGCTGCATCCTGGAATGACAGAACAAGGTGGGGACAAAGGTGGAGTGGAGCACAGAAAAAGATTTGGCCGGTCCAGCATTGCCCTCAAGTGGTCAAACGCAGGCATGTGGGGAATGGAAAATTCCTGGGATGAAGTTCTGAGGTGGATAATTGAGGATTAATGAGGGGACTCAAGAATGTTTTTCCCAGATGAGATTGAGAAAACAGGAATTGAGAGCCATAGCTAAGAAATTAAAGAAAAGATTAAGATTTATCAATGACTGGACACCTGGAATGATATGTGTAGAGAGAACCAGAAACAAAGACAAAATCTGTTTCCCAATCTAGGTCTTGTCAGGAGGATCATAACTGGCTGACAAGATGACCTGGTTACCTAGGGGACTAGAACATGTGGTGGTGGTGGTGGTGGTGGTGGTGGGGTGACCTTGAGTCCTCTCAGTCCCCCCTGTCAAGGCTCCAGGAAATCTCTGATCTAGAATCATTATCTTCAGATTGATTGGCAGTCCAAGAATGAGCACAATCTGAAATGAAATGAGATGCAAATTTGTGTGTAATGAAGTTTCAAAAAATTAGATTTACATAGGAAGGTAAATTTTCTCTCAGCATTCTTCTTGGGGCTCACATGGTCTCAGTCTCTCATTGTGTTACATGCAGGGGGTTCAGTAACTTGACTTTGGAGGGAAGTTTTTCTTTCTTAGCAACAAGAAGCCTCCCTCTTCCTTCCCTCTCCCACCCCAACCCTCTTGGGTTTAATGCCACTGGAAGATATCTAGCACAGGACTATGAATCCTGGCAGCCAATCTGCGCATGGCAAATCTGCAAGTAGTACAATGTTTGCTTCCTTCTTCCTGTTTCACTGTAGCACACAGTGTTGTTTAGATATATTATCACTTCCCTTATGAGGTCATGGAAGCAATGGGTTCACACCCTGAATCTTTCCCTGCTTTATTTCTTTCAGTTGACCTATGACTTGACTTTGTGAACCTTCAACAAGCTTGAAATCCTGCCTGTCCCTGACCTTGTTGCTCTCCTGCTCAGCTCCCTTGAAACAATAGAGAAATGGATTAGAGAAACTTCCTGACCAAAACAGTAATCAGTTCAAGAGCTGGGTAAATGTAGTATAATGCATCAATGGTCAAAATTGTCAGTGAAATTCCAGCATCCCAGGTCTTACTATAGAAAAGCCTCATCTTTACGGTAGGAACAATGTTCAAACTGTGAATGAAAGTCTGAGAGTAGGATAATAGGGAAGGATGGAACATGGATACCTTGGGTGTAAGATTCTTGGAAGATGCCATAAGTCAGAGTAACTTTGTGCTTGTGTGCACTGGTGTGTGTTTAAATCAAAGGTTTCTGAAGTCAAGAATTGTACCTTTCCTACCCTCCCTCATAACATCAGGGCCTTGCATGGAGTAAGCACATAATAATGAACTCATTGCCCCATAGCGCAGTGGTCAGGGGAATCTTGTAATCCAGAATCCAACTTCTTTTATGTTAGTCACTCAATCTTAGGAAAGTTTTCTGACTTTTTGGGGCCTTAGGCTCCTCATCTGTAAAGCAGGGATAACAATAGCAGCCCCACTCCCTCACATGAGAGGTATCTGTGAGGATTAGAGGAGGTGGTGCATGTGAAGCCCTAGGTAGTGTGCTTGGCACATGGTCAGTGCCCAGGAAAGAGTAGTCTTATTATTACCATGTGTGCATGTACAGAACTCTGCTATAGCATGAGAATTTTTCAGTCAAAGCCCAACTTAACTATAAAAATAAGATCAGCCTCATTTCAGAAAATGAAAACGTGCAGGCATGGGGTTGAACAGACCCTCTCCCAATGTACCCTTTGCCACTTCCTTCCATAGCTATAAAGGCTCTGCCCAAGTTTCCAGGAACCGATATGCTCTTGAGCCCTGTCTATTAATAGAATGGGAGAATCCTTTGCATATAAATACGTTTTCAGTTTATCAGCTGTGACATGGTGGTGGCTGACCCTGCCTTTCTACCGGGAGCCTGGCTCTTGCCCTGGACAGTGTGATTGACTGGGTTTTGGAAGCTGCCAATGCACGAGAGACTTGGAGGCTTTGATTTCAATCATCACGGAGAGCCTATTAGGAGAACACGGTACCGTGCAGCGATTCAAAAGGCTGAGAGTCTAGAAATAGCCATTACAGAGGAAAATCCTTCCGCTTGGCGACTGGGACCAGGTCTATGGCTTTTAAGCGATTGGTGCAGATGGCAAGTGAGAGGGTGCATTCATTTTGTGCTCAATAAAACCATTTTTATTCAGGCAATTCAATTGTTATCCCCTCGGGAAGGGTGAGCTATAAAAACAGGTTGTAATTCTAGGAGCATCTAATTCCTCTGTAGTTGGAGGGGGTGGGGAGAGGAGGAAGAGAGAGAGAGAGAGAGGAGGCGGGGGCGGGGGTGGGTGAGGGAGAGACAGATGAAAGGGCGCTTGGCTTCCCTAGAAAGTCCTAGGGTAATTACCCAGCGTGGATTTCTCCTGGAGCTTTGCAATGGTGCCAGATGTGTCCTGGCCCTCTGTGCACCACCCACAGAGGCAGCATCCAGAGTCCCTCCTCCCCCGGGCTGTTCCTCATGTCTGGGAACACATCAAAGAAGGTTTGATATTCAGAACTGCCGTGAGTCATTTTCACATGGAGCTGCGGGGAGCTGTCTGAACCACCGGGTGCTGTATTCAGCCCTTTTCAAGAGCAGCTGAGCTGAACCAATTCCCCATTATGGGCCAGAGCAGATTCCTCCGGGGAGACCTGGATTTGCCCCCAGACCCCTGTGCAGAGCAAAATGGGTCTTTTTATTTTATTTTTATTTTTATTGAGAAACAGTTATTAAAACATCCTCCAGGCTTGGCTATGCATCTCCACTGCCCACGGGGACAGCTCTGTGTGGTGCTTCCTCAACAGCGTGGCCACTGCCAGGCCCTGCTGTGAGTGTCCATCACACCCGAACCCTCCTTGTTTCCCTGGCTCTGAGGACAGAGGATGTCAACAAGACTCCAACCAGGACCACATTTCTTCTCAACTGGAGGGGGAAACTCTGTTCACCAGCTGTTGAATTTGGCTGTTGTTGGAAAAAGCATCACGTGTGATACCTTGAGGGCTGGCAGAGGCTTGTGCAGTTAAAGCCTCAAGATCATGGAGCTGGAAGAGGCCTTAGTCATCATGCAGCTCTAGC